CAATATGGTTCATGGGGTCACGAAGAGTCGGACACGACTTAACGACTAAACAACAACAAAAAGTGAAGAATTGGGCTGTTTCAACGTGGTCTCTCTCTGTACCCACCAGCTCTTTAAGCTGATCCCTGACTGTGAGAATCAGCCTAAACCGATGGTGTGATGACCTGTGCTGGTGATGAGGGAGGGGCTGTGGGTTGGAGGGAGGGACAGACCCAGCTCTCTTTTCGCCTCTCGGTTGTTTTCAGGCTGCTTTCAAACCCAGGTTGAGCGCTCTTCTGGAATGCGTTGATCTCCTTTTGAACATAGGTGTAGCGCTTTTCCAGAACAGCGCTAAACCCATGTCCAAAAGGAGATCAGCTAGCAGCTGAAAAGCTTTCTTTAAATGTATCTGCACAAAACCAGAGCAAAGCTTGGCTGATAGCTAACTCCCCCCCACACCCCAGTTCAGTCATCAATCAAATCTCTCCTCCCCCCCCCCCTCCACAGGACCAGCCCCAGACCCCTTCCATATTAAAGAGAGTGATTGATGTATATTTTCCCTCTGGCTGTTGATATTAGAGGAAAAGAAAATGGAGTTGAGGGGAATAAATCTACTGCCCCCTGTCCTTAAAGTGATCCATGTGTGCTGTAAATAAAGGCAATTCAATTTTCCAGCATTGTATATGAAGCAGGGTAGGGACCGCCAATGGCAGCAGCAAATCTTATGTTGGTAAAATGTTCTGCTGACTTAAGGATAGGAGGAGAGTATCTGATGTGGGACCCTGAGATCAGCAAACATTAACCATATTTAGGGTGCACAACAGAACAAGCTAAAAGTCGCGCAAGTTGCACAAAACGAAGTGCTAACAAGGAAGGGAATAAGTGATCAGGAGCACAGGCTATACAAGAGTTAGAAACAAGTTTTCTTTGTCCAAACTGTTGTCTGGCCCAAATTCCCAGAGAAAGAAGCAAGTTAGAAATAATGATGTGTGGTCAAGGACAAGGAGGGTCTTTTCCTAAATCAAGCATGGTTTGTTCCTAGCAAGGTATGCAAGAAAAGGTGATGTCATGCACATACGCCAACACAAGGTATTGCTGGATTGCCCAAAAACGTTCGTCTTCTCCTCTAAGAGACCCCCTATAGCTATTGATCCATAAAAACAACTTCAAGGCCATTGTTTGCATTACCTATAAACTGGGATCCAGGGAGGAAGTTTTTTCTACCCTCAGCTGTGAGAAACCGCACCCCCTCCAAGGTATATTAAATTCAAAAGACCCATAAATTCCTCCGCCTGAACGCTCCGTACCTGTCCTGGGTCCCGTAGGAGCCCACCTTCTCGTTCTTCATGCAGAAATCAGGGGAACTCTGCAGATAAACCAATTCGGTCTCCTTCACTGGACGGATGTCAAGTTCCTTGGGGACCAGATGTTTGCGGGTGCCCATGGGCCGATGGACAACCTTGGTCGCTGAAAGGTATTTGTTTTTTAGGTCCAGGGCAATGTCTGTCAGCTCCTGAAGCCCCTTCCAGCACGTCTTGATCGAGCAGGAACCGGAGACTCCGTGGCATTTGCATTTCATTTCCAAAGATGCTTTCAGGGACTGTTGGAAAAGCAGCGACACAAGAACGTTGAAGCGACCGTCCCTCTTTCTGCCAACGTCCAACATCCTTGCTGATCCCCACTCCCCTTGCCCAGGAATCCTGAATTGTGGATGATTTTATATCCTCAGGGCAGGGGGTCCTCAGGGTGTGGTCTAAAAGTCAAGAGGGCAGCTTGGGGTGATCCAAGCTCTGCCTGTTTTTATATGCACTGGCCATGGGCAGAACTTCGATCAACCATTGTGGCTGCTTGATTGAGTTCTTGGACCCCACCTATGGTCTCTTCTGCCTCAGGGGCTTGCAAGCATGGCTCTGGGGCCTTCAGGAGCAAGGCCAATTAATTTGCCCGAGCTTTGCATTCAGTGCAAAAATATTCCTTTCTTCCCTGTCTTCCTTTGATCCTGTTCCCTTCCCCTTTTCCCTTCCAAACATCGCTTTGCTCCATCCACAGATGTTTAAGGTATAAACTGCTCCGGAGTCCTGGCCCGTGGTCTCACTGGTGCAGTGGCCAGAAGCAGACCCAGAGGCTCTGTCATTAATAGGAAACTCTCTCCAGGGAATGGGGGTTATGGTTCCCTCCCCCTACAACTATCTAATTTTAAATCCATATGATCATGTTTAAAAAAATATATTGAAAACCTGGCTTTTCCCCCAGATCTTGGATTAGGGTGGCTGGTAAGCCTCTTTTAGGATGTTATAGGTTAGTTTGAATGTTTCCTCTTCTAGACATCCATTATGTTTTCTTTATGATTTTGGTTCCTGTTGTATGCCACCCGGAGTCTTTATGGAGTTGATAATTTGATAAATAAATAAGCGTCAAGTGACTCTTGCAGGGAATAACTGCACCCCAGTTTTAGGATCAGGCAGTCTCTTTAATTCACACTGTTTTACGTTCTGCACAGCTGTTGACTTGCTTTATGGGAGTTTTATTCCTGGCTTTTCTTGAATTTAATATTTGTGGGGTGGTTTTGATTGTATCCATGTTCATTTTGTATTCAGGTTTATATGCATGGAAGCCAAGGTGCGGGTGGGAATGGATTAACCCTGATCATGTCTGCCCGTCATACAGAGACTGGATGGTAATCTGCCAGAGATGACTTAGAGCAGTGTTTCTCAAATTTGGAAACTTTAAGATGTGTGGACTGGCTGGGGAATTCTGGGAGTTGAAGTCCACACATCTTAAAG